TTGTGCTATGCTGGAAGTGAAAATGTCTATGGCAGCTGCTATATTGGTCTTTTCAAAGTTGGTAAGCTCTTGAGCCTAGCTATTAAAAGATATTTTCACTATACGTTACTGAGCTGAAGTGGTTGAAAACCACAATGTCAAAATACTCAGATGTTTTGCTGTGTCCAGGAGAGTGCATGAAACATGAGATCGATTAATCTTCATGTCCTTTGACATGAGACATCTCTACATGTCAGACGGCTGCAGCTGCATTATGAAAGGGCAAAGGCACAGCATTTTTCTGTTGAGAACAGTTTTGTCAGATACTGACACTGGTGTTGGCAAGTCTCTAGGGTGAAATAAGGAGCACTTCAGAGCATCTTGGCTTTTGCTAGAGGTTTGAATGTTTGCAAGCACAGAAGTGCTGAAACCACAAGTGTATTTTATGTCATGTTGGGTGACAGAGTGAAGGATCAGATGTAGGATGCTGGTTTGCCATAGAAAAGCTGGAAAGAATGTGGATAATTTTTAACATGCAGAAGAAGTTGTTGCAAGTTCTATCTTCCAGAAATCCATGGGAAAGATGGAACACACAAACCAAAGGACTGAAAGTGCCATAAAGAAATATGTTCCTACCCCTGGAAGAAGATAAGTTATGAAATGCCTTTATTACTTAAGGTTAACACAGTGGCATTGAGCTGGCTCTTCCATTCCTTTTCTCACTTAAATACAGTGTTCAAAACAAGTAAACGCTGCAACAGCTTGATCATAATTTAAGTGTTACAACCAACCTGTGGCTACTCTTCTTTGCACTGAGGCTAGAGGGGAGGGAACATGGCTACTGGTCTCAGTGTGTATAGGAAGACACTTGCTCTAGGACATGCCATGCTGTCACAAATAAGTCATCTTCCTGGACTGGTGTTTGCTGCCAAGTGACCTCTGTCCAGTGTTTTGGAGGAAGGAAAAGCATTATTCAATCCTGGTGACATTTGGCTGGTGGTGAGAGCTGTATTATCACAGATGCAGCTTCCAGCCTGAGGTGTGGCTATTGCCAGTCCTTGTCAATGATTACTCTGTAGTTAGTATGGCTATACAGTTGATTCTGTTCAGGCACTACTTCACGTGCATGCATAACAATAACAATAACAACTTTCTGAGCACTTCACAAGTGGTTCTTACAAGTATCAAAAGTTAAATCCTTTTTTTTTCTTTTTTTTTTCTGCTGGTTTCACACTGGTTAAACACCATTGATTTTAGTGGAAAAGACCACCAGTGGAATTTTTGCCTCAAAATAATTTTCTTCTCCATCTGATAATGGAGGGAATAATCTGTTCTTTGATCTTTGGTTGGCATTCTTGGAAATCAGAAAGGGTGATGGTTGTACTGTAATAGCTTTATTTTAATGATGTGTGTGGTCAGTGATTTCTGGGCATTTAAATAAAGGTGGGTGTGCTATGAGACATGATGAGGTAGGAGCTGGAATGCAGGGAGCATTGCTTGTGGAATAACCTTGTAACTGGGACCTCAGGGAGAAGTGCCCTATAAATACGTATTTTGCTGGTTTTAATTCATACTGGTGCTGTCCCTGCACTTATGCAAATGTTAATATCTGGTTTACTCAATTGGCCTACTCCAGATGGATTAATATGTAATGGATAACACGTAAATTATATTTAACCATGAAGAAAACTTTGTTCTGGACAGGATGCTGCCTGGTTTTGTGTCAAATATTCGAGATGTCTCACCAGCCCCTGTATCCCCGTTCTGTATTTAGCAAGGGACCATGAGACAATGAAATGCTAGACATCTGTCTTCACTAAGAGCTTCGGTAATGCTACTCTTGTGAAATGCTTGTATCTCAACTAGGAAAAAAAAATGATCTTTTGTTTAAAAAGAAACAAAAAATAACTACATTACTAGATGTTGATGTTTCTCTGTAAGACAGTAGAGGGGACTCTAAACCAGAGGTTTTCTTTATTCTCTCTCCTGTGAACTCCTTGTTGTAATGTCTAAGCACCTTAAAAATATTTATGAATGTGTCCTCAAAGGAAAATGAAATTTATATAATGGAGATGCAAAGTGGTGTTAAAGGAAGCAACTTTCCAAAGGTTCCTACACAGTTACACTGTGACAGAACTGGGACAGTAAATCAGATTGTTACATCCCGTTTTGGTAAACAAGCCATCATCCCATCCTTCTTATTACTTACTTTTGCCTTGGCTGCTTTCAGAGTAATTCACTGCTTTTCTTTGTAAAATACAAATACATTATTTGTAAGGAAATAATTTTTTTTTTGTAACTTCACACTTAGGCCGGCCATGCAGGGATTGATGGCCAACAGAGGGTTGCAGTTAGCGACAGGTGAGGAACAGAAAGAACATTAAACTCAGTTTAGACTCCTGTGTGATAATACACTCCGGTCTCTCTTCTCAGCTGCTGGAGGTGTCCCAAGCATCACTTGGGAGTCGTCGTGCTGAGAAGCTGATGCTCTGTGTGCTGGGGGTGAATTTGCAGCACTGAGCTCAGCAGCACTAACTGCCTGGGAAGACCCGTAATAATGCCAAGTGGGATGTAGCTGCCTCTGCTTTCCTCTCCCCTCCCATTCCTCACGCTGTTGTGGCAGGGAAGCTGACGTGCTATCAACAGCTTCCTCTTGCAGACAAGCCCATAATGAAACAATTCCCTGCATTTACTGTTATTCACTAATGAGAAGTGAACTGTTATTCATTATATATGACATTATATATACAATATATGTATTCTATATATTATGAGATATAACATTATATATGACATTATATATGTTATACTGTTATTCATTAACGAGAAGTTTGAACAATTCTGTGTGCTCCAAGTGATACCAGTCTTCTCCAAACAGTGACTGGGGGGGACAAAATGTTGCAGTGGTGGCAGCATCGCTCTTGTGGCCAGGGGTTCAAAACTGTATTTGGGCAATGACTAAATGCATGAGCAAGAGGCTAATTCTCTGTTCCTCAGGGTTTAAAGGTTTTGGGCAAATCTCTTTGAAGTCAGTGAAGGACTTCTGTTACTGCAGTGGGATTTGAATCTAACCCCAAATGCTCAGTGAATTTATGGCATGTGTTAGTCTTTTGTTAGCTGTCTTGCGTATATGAAATGGTGCTGAGCGAACCTTGGGAGAATACATTGAATGTGCAAATTTGCACACTGATCTTGATCTTTTCAAAGCACTATTACTGAGAATATATGTTGAAATACCCCCCACTATGTTGCAGACACATTCCTTTTTGGTCCTGTTTGTGCTGCTTGTATGTGTTTAGTTGGCACACTGAACTCTGAGGTTTTCTTTTAAGTTATTCTACAGTACTTTAGGGAACTCAACTCTCATCACTAATAAAATAAAACAAAGCAAAACTCTGGTAGGTCTTGCCTTGTTAACTGTTCTAGCTGTTGTGTTTCCTGCTGTTCCGAAAAACATAAAGCTTTATAAGATTTCCCAGTGCAAAACATGAATATTTATAGGCAAAGAATAAGACTTCCCATTTTGAAATGTCAATGCTATGAAGTTGCTTTTTTGGCAGGCATGATTAAGCCACATGGACTTCCAATAATGTTTTGTAAGCTTTTTCCTTAATTATGGCTTAATTTAGGTCTCTGAGTTTAACAAAACCTATGAAGCTTGCAGCAAAATATATTTCTTGTGGAAAATTTTTTTGCATGGAATACAAATCCTGTATTCCTTGGGGATATCATTTTTTAATGTGTTTAAATGCATTTAAATATTTTCTTTGAATTTATTAAAGCATATGCCAAATAAAAACAGTTGATACTGTGTGTTTAATACAGAATTTTGAAGAAATTAGCTTGGAAAGTGCATGTGATTACTTTTTTTTCCTCCAAACGCCTTGAGTAAAATGCACATGAGGTTACAAGACATTAAGCAAGAGTCAAAAGATTCTGTCTCAAGCAGTTACTGCTGCAAGAGACAAATTAGAAACCATTTTGCTTTCATATAGTTGTTCTTAAATGTACCATTCTGACAACAGCAAAAAAGAGAATAATCTGCACAATTGTATTTATGTGGCATTGATCTGTCTTTTCTAGAGAAAATCCCTTTTCCCAGACAAAATAACCTTCCATTCAGCTGTAAGTGGAAGAAAGCCTCTTTAGCAGCTGCACAGGTTTAGGGGAATGTTTCTGCACAGGCTTAATATAGAATTTTGATATGGACCTCTCAGTGAATTTGATTTTTGGTGAACAAAATACAGTAAGAGCACTTAAGAGCACTAAAACCACATTGCTTTCCTGTGCAGATTGGATAACAGGGTGTTTACTCAAAGAGCTAGACAAAAAAGCACAGAGATGATGTGATTAAACTAATGCAGATTTATTACTAGATTTTTTTACTAGCATATTTTCTTAAATTGATGTAATAAATGTCTCAACCCTGCTCAAAGATAGAGTTTTGAACAACTTTGAGCTATTCCTGTCTTAACACCTAAGTGGAAAAACAGGATCACTTTGGAAAAAACATTCAAACAGTTTAAAACTCTGTGCTGTGATCATGCTGTTCTGACCCCCTGCAGCCTTGCATTATCAAACTGAGAGTGTCTCAGTCTCCCTAGTAGTAATGTTTGAAACATGATACAAACAAATCATCTGAATAAAGTAGAAAGAAAAAGGTGTTTAGCATCACAGCTATCTGAGGCCTGTTCCACTGGCACACTGGCTAAGATGAACTTAGAGATACAGTCAGGGGCCCTAAGCTGGGCTTTCCAGGGGAGCTGAAGAGAGTGAAATCCTTTGAAACTCAGAGACTGAACATTTTTAACATCTGGTTTTGAATGGTGAAGTCAACATCTAAAAAAGCAAGTATCTGGAAAGCAGTTTGAAAACTATGTTACTGAAGATGTTGGAGAAGTTGGGGAGTTTGGGGGTGGGGGAAGGCTTTTATTTTCCAGATAAAGGAAAATACCGTGGGATGGCAGAAAGCAGTGCCAGTCTGCTGTCTGTGTTTTACCTATCTTTGCTCTTCTTTGCAGGTTACATATTTGGGTAAGGTTTCCACAACAGGGATGCAATTTTTGTCAGGCTGCACAGAGAAACCAGTCATTGAATTATGGAAGAAGCACACACTCGCCAGGGAGGATATTTACCCAGCTAACGCTCTTCTGGAAATTCGACCTTTCCAAGTCTGGCTGCATCATCTGGACCTCAAAGGTGAGGCGACAGTCCACATGGATACCTTTCAGGTAGCACGTATAGCCTACTGCACTGCTGACCACAATGTCAGCCCAAACGTCTTTGCTTGGGTCTATCGGGAGATCAACGATGACTTGTCCTACCAGATGGACTGCCATGCTGTAGAGTGTGAGAGCAAGCTGGAGGCCAAGAAGCTGGCTCATGCTATGATGGAGGCATTTAAGAAGACTTTTCATAGCATGAAAAGTGATGGCCGGATCCACAGGAACAGCTCGTCGGAGGAAGTGTCTCATGAATTTGAATCTGACGATGGCTGACTGAACTTGTTCACAGTTCAGCAATGGCAGAAATGGCCTAGGGAATGAGAGCTGATAAATGAATGAGCAACAATTGAAATTGGGGAATGGAAGGACTGCCAAACACTTGTCTGACCAGCTTTTTAAATCAAAAGAGCAATTCAATACCTACAGATATGCATCATTAATTACGTTACATTGAAATCTGCTGCTGTTGTAAAAGTGAGAAAAAAAGCTCCCTCCCCCATCTGTCTCACCCACCTGTCACTGTCCCTTTCTCATTTCTGTAGTTCAGGTGCACACCATGAAGTAGGAGTCATTACTGTTTGTCTTAGAAGACTGGTCAGGCAATTTTATTAGTTGCGCCTCTGTCATTCCTTGCTGGGGCTGATGCTGATGCACCAGATTAAGTTGGCCTGGAAAGCCTTAATGGTTCCTGAAGAATCTTTCTTCATGATGCATCACAAAAATCCTTTGACCATACATAGGCTAAGACATCCATACATAGCATTTAGACTAATGGCCTGGCATTCTGCAGTTAATTCACATTTCACAGATAAAAACTGAAAGAAGATGCTTGTATGTACACGTTATATCATATGCTATCCTTTATTTTATTCATTGTACCTATTTTCTTAGTATACTTTCTGCCACATCTTTCACCCGACACCAGTAGTTGCAGTTTCAGATTATATACTGCAGGATACCAAAAAGGGGTGAGTGAAAATACTCTACAATGGCTAAAGGTAGCGTGAGCCAGCACCACTCTCTGTGCATTTTCTAAACCTGATGTGCTCCACAGGAGGGGCTCCACTGGTAAGAGTTGAGGGACACTTGGGTCTGTCAGTGTCTGAACTGTGACTTCTTATCAACCTCAGGTCTGAAGTGAAATGAGCATGGTAGCCTCAACTCTGCGTTACCAGTCTCCGCATTACTGGTCAGGTGGCCCTGATAGGACCCACCTGGTAGTGCGTTGTTGCACAGCCAGGGGTGTGTCACTGTAAAGATCGAAGGAAGCGGTCCCCTGGGAGTCAGGTCTGAACATCAGTTGAGAAGCTCATGTTAAGATTCCCGTGTCTTTCCTTGTTCACAGATATAGAGAGTCATGCCTTTCTTAAATGCAGATGTTTAATAAAACTCAAATAAAAGGAAAAACTTGTTTCTCTTGATATTTTTTAAGGCAAAGAGCAGATCAATAGTTTGCAAGTAATGCTGCTTCTTTGTAGAATTTTGTTCATAATTATGGTAATGTTAGGGGCACTAGGGCACCTTACAGAAGCCTTAAAAGAAAGCTAGCCAGAAGCAGATAGCTCTGTGTCTGTGTTTTGTGGGTCTGTATGTTTGTATGTGAGAGTGTATGTGTGAGTCCAGTGTTAAACCATGTGGATTGAGCATGGAGACATATTGAGGAGGGCCCACACCCCTTGAAAATATGCTTGTTGCTTTACAATGTATGTAAACTATTCTCCAGCATAAATGCATTCATACTTTAATAAAAAAAAATGTTTTGAGTTAAAGCTCGGGAGTTTTGAGCTGTCTTTCCAATGCAAGCTCTGTGGTTTTGTTTTATGTGTGAGGGTTCTGTGTACATTTCATTTAGTGGAATGAAAATATTAATTTATTTCCGTTTAGTACTACATCAGTCTCCATGAGAATTACCTTTAATATTTTAAAACTATTTTCTTTTAAATATTTAGGTAAATTATATTGCTGTGAGGCTTTTTTTTTTTTAACTTTGCTCTGTGTTGACGTGATTTATGATTTCTGCTTTGCAGGAGGTGGCAGAGATACACACACCGCCTTCCCCCCCCCCCCCCCGCCACACACCTGGCCAGTCGAAATGAGTTCTGCTGAGTGGAAGCAGTATCTTGCCCTGCTTACAGCAATCACAGAGTAGCTCAGGTGCGGCATTAGATAGTGGGACACAATAAAACATCAGGCCGGCAGCTTCCAGAACTGTTTCTCTCTGAATGTTCGGATGATCCAGTGTTTCCAAATACGGACCTAAAAATGATTGGGTTTTTTCTTCCCACAATACTCATTTGGAAGTGGAGTGCCAAGTATGTTCTATATGTTTGTCCAAAAAAAAACCAACCTCCAAACAAAAACCCCACCAAAATCTGAGTCCTGCCATGTATGTATCTGTCATTTGTCCAAAGGCAAAATTAGGCAAAACTTCCTTCAACTTTTGCCAAATCATTTTCTTTTTCTCAGAGTTCTAGTCATGTGTTAGTTTCTTTACTTCTTTGGCTGCTCTGCTACCAAAGCTGCTGGGAATCAGCGTGTGCAATCCCCTGTTTCATCCTCTCAGCCAGATGTCTCTGCTGACAAGGGAGAGGTTTGCCTGCAAGTCCCAGCTCCTAGCTGAGGGCTGCTTGAGTGTGGGAGAGGGAGAAGGACAATACCAACCCTTCTCACACACAGAAACAGATGCCTCCTGCCTGCCCTACAGAGGACTGCGGTGGATGATTTAGGTTTGGGATTTCCACTTCTGGAGCAAATACTGAGCATGGGGTGTGTTCCTGCTGTGGGGGTGGATGTGATTCTTCTGACTGACACAGCCTGCCCTCTCACCAAGCAGTCCAGGCCAGAGCACAACTGGACAGAAATGTCATCGTTTTATTTTTAATCATGGTCTTTCCTCTAACATGCTGGGATCTCCTGAAAAGACCTAACTCCCTAAGTCATCTGCAGGTGTGTGTTATGCAAAGAGTACCTTAGGTGGGGTTTTTGTTGTTACCCTTTTATGTATGTATGTATGTATGTATGTATGTATGTATTTATTAAGTACAGTCTAAAATTTCTGTGCTGGCTTTATTTGGGAGCAACACACAGAAGCCATAGGCAGAAATGTGAAGGGTTGCTCAACTGTGCTTTTACTCTATGCGCTGAAGTGGTGTCATGCTGCTCCCCTTGTCGCATCTGTGACTGGCAGCGCCTGCAGCAAAAGCCCTGGGCTATGGCGTTACTCCCCCTACTCCCCCCTGTAGCCCACAGCCATGTGGTGTTACCCAGAACAGGAACAATCTGGGAGTGTGATTTTAAGCTGTTTTTCCTGCAGATCATTGCCTACAGTGGTGCTCCATGTCAGGGCATGGCATCATGTGTTGATGTTAGCAGCATGGCAGTGCACTCGCTCAGTGATGGGGATGCAGGTCACTTGGTTGTGGTTTTAGACCACATTTGTCATATGTATTTCATAGCTTGGTGTCAGACAAATTGATGCTTTTGGGCATACAGCTTGCCTGTTTGCTAGTTGCCTATGTGCATTTGGAAATTTGTTCCTAGCTGCCAGTTAGGACCCTGAAGGGACTGTTTTGCGAGGTGGCTGCCGTATGTGCAGCCCTTGCTGACCTTGCACTAGTTTACAGTGAGTTGAGGAGTTCTTGTGAAGGTATTTGATATTATGGCATCAGCATTTGGAGGCTGTGGATTACCTGAGAAGTTTGAACGATAAAAATGAAATACAAAGGAGAAAATTCTGGTCCTTTTGATTAGAAAATTAAACCCTTTGAAAAACGAACCAGCTATTTTCTAAGAATGCAAGGGAATATGAGGGAATGTGAACTCCAGTTTGTCTTAGAAAACAGGAGATTGGAAAAATAATCATATCATGAATTTGGATCCTTAGATAATTTGGAATTCAGGCCAAATCCCTCTGCATTATCAATACCAAATGTGTGATGCCATTTGCAGGAAGGAGAAAAGCTTTTACTCATAAATGGCAAGCGTATCATTTATCGCTGAATATCAGTTGCCAATAGATAGTGGAATGAAACATCAAGTCAAACTTTTCCTTCGATTAATCTGTTGGAAAAGAAAAATCATAACGTTTCCATCAGAAGTCACTTCCAGTTGGCTAAAGACTTTCCTTTTCAACTACAAAGAGCCAAGTGCTGGATCTCACTGCATCCAGCTGTGGGTTGACGAGTTTCTTCGGTGTCAGCCAGGAAAACACGTAAGGGATTTCTTTCCCTCTTACGTTTTTAGGGGAGAGTAGAAAAGGGTCCAATATCTAAATGTGTTATTAGAACTGCAGAAAAAGTAGAGAGCATTTAGGTCATTATACCCTAACATCAATATGCAACATCACTGGTGTTTTGTCAATGTGGTTTTCATAACTTTTCTAACTACCTTAAGAAAAAAGAAATTAAGTGTTATTCTATATAGAATAAGTTTGTTCATTTCTCAGGCTCTGAAGTCTAAATATCTTCTGTTCATACCAAGTCTTCTGTGGAACTGTGAGTGAATGATTGTAGCTCAGGAGCAGTTGTACTATGGGGAGAGCAACACACCACGCTAGCGAGCACAGGTTGCTTGAGAATTGCTTAGATGTACGTGGGGTTTTTGCTTATAAAGAAGGAGAAAAGCAGAGAGTAATTTCTTTCATGTTTTAAGCTCAAAAGGCCCCTAAGAGCAGCTTAATGTTTTGTTTTGTTTTGTTTTTAAAAAAACACCTGAAACACAACCAAACAAAAAAAAACCCTCTGCAGCTGTTTCCACTCCCTAAAACTTTCTAGTAGTGAGTGGCTTCATTTTTACATGAAAAAGTAGTTAGACATTGCCAATGAATTGCATTTAATTTTCCTAAAACGTGCAAATAAAAGGCATGTGATTGAGAAGCCTTTGATACAGAAGCAACCCCATATCAGCCTCTTAGAAAACTTATACATGTATATGTTATTCTTAGAAGCTTTGAGACTTCAATAACTTTGTATTCACAGTGAATTTTATTTGAATTGTAAGGTTCTCTGTGTGTCTGTATGTGCGTATGTATGCATATATATACATACACATGTACACACACACATCTGGTAACGTGATGCTTGTTCATAAATATTTTCTGTATGATGGACATATGTAATAGCGGGTGTATGTGTCAAGGCAATCTTGCATTTTAGTGCTGAGATAAGCAGTTTACCTCTTTACTTCTTTAGTGGGAAGCAAATTAACTTGTCTATCTACTTGCAAAATTTGATATACTGTATGCATTATTTACCATTTACCATCAGAGCTGGCCC